ATCAATCCATGTGAATATGACTGAAAAATTTCATTTTTTCTGAAAAGGTGGTGTCTATTTACTTGTGACCACGCTGTGTGTATTTAAGTATTTTTTTCTAAGTCTCGAGGTTAAATCTGACATTTATTAGTTTTGAAATGAAGATAAAACCAAAACTGGAACTTAAGGTTTTGACTGACACATAGTATTGATTGTAGGTTAGCTGAAACTTTAGGCTTTGACTGACATGTAGTGTTGGATGTAGGTTAATTGAAACTTTGGGTTTTGTTTGACATGTAGTGTTGGATGTAAGTTAGCTCTTTTCACCGCGTGGGGATCAAACCTCGGATTTAAGCGTTATAAGTCCGTAAACTTACCGATGATGCACCAGTTTGTGATCCTACTTGCTAGTTTTAATCATAGTGAAGTATTATTAGAAAATCTGACAGCCCTACAAAAGTATATCAGTACTCTACGCCTATATGTCTACAATGAGAATATCTTTTCCTTCTAAACTGCTGGTGAACTCCACCTCTTGTATAATGTTACAGTAAACACCAGAAGTTACAGTGATCTTAGTAAAATATGATCAAGTTCAAGTTTCTTTTTTTTAATTCTTCATGGTGGACAGAGTGCAGATAGATCATCATGTAGAACAACAACAACAACAACTAGAAGTTTTGAAAACCTCTGGTGATGAGAATACAAAGGGACTTAAATTATGACTTGCCATTGACGAGCATAAAACCCCAAAGTTATCAAACTAGCCACAGTAATGATGCAAAACTAGCGATAACGGATCGTGTCCTTTACAAAATATTATCTTTAAGAAAAGTAATTTTCTAAGTATTATTATTATGACATATTTCAGCCAGTGGCTCGTGATAGTTATTGAGAAATGTAAATAATCTATACTATCATTCTGCTTGTTTGTATGTAAGACCGTTACGCTTTCTGACTGAGAACCTGCTGCATAAGCATGTGTAGTTAGAATGTTTCCCCAAATTTTCCGCATTATTCACTCGACGACAAACAGTCTGCCTGCGGCAGAGAGCTGCAAAGCTCAGTAATCAAGTCGCTACAATTGCTGTATGAAACAAGAACTAAAAACAGAAGGGGAATGTAAATATACTTTACTAACCATTTTGTACAACAGACTATTAAAAACTTATCAAAGTTTTTAAAAAAGGTTTGACGTTAGGTCGTAAAATAACATTATAAATTTATTTATCGATAGTATTAAGTACAGTAAAGTTTAGTCCTAACTAAACTAAAATTAAAAAAAAAAGTTACACAGGTTACAGTGTTAATTTATCTCTTTATCGAACTTAAGCCTAACATAAGTTAAGGTTTTATAAAGTACGGCCTAATACAAGTGGATTTACACATTTCGTTGTCTACGATTACAATTCGTTTATATTGTGCTAGAAATGTTATATTTAAAGCAGTACTGTTACGATAAAGATACTAATTTGGTTGGAAATGTTTTGCGGGTCTCTGCTAGTATTCTTTATTGTTTAAAGTGAAGAGGCTATCCGGGCTCTGACCACCACGGGGAATCGAACCCTGGATCGCATCGTTGTAAGTCCATAAATTGAGCGCTGTTCCACTAGGGGACAAGTTGAAGATAATTTTTTTGTGATGTTTATGTAAATCAGACAGCCTTACTATCATTTTTAGTAGCAACGATATTTCTTTCAGGACAGACAAACATTAAGTATTATTATAACAGACAACTATATAATGTGTTTCTTTAAAACCCAACTGAATAACTAGTTTGATTAGATATAACGAGGTATCCAGAGAGTTCATCTTATATCTGTATCAAACAAACATTACAATTTGTCAGTTTACTGATATATTCCTTCCTAATACCGATATATATTTTGATTATGTGAATGTAATATATAACCAAATAATGTATAATGTATCTGATGTTAATATCTGGAGTTTCATAAGACGAAACCTTTTATACAGCTGCCATGGGGGTCGATCTTCCTGACTATATCCTCCATTTCAAAGGGAATTGGCCTGACCTGTCTATCTTCCGTGACCGCATGCAACAGAGTGGGAAAAGGTAACCGAATCACGACTGTTTAGCTGTTTTTATGTATGTATGTAATAAAAAAATCTGGATGTTCAATAAAAGCCAGTAGCACTAAAATATTAATTTGAGGTAGATGTAATTCATGTTATTAGTTTGGAGTGAATGTAATTCACGTTATTTGTTTGAAGTAGATGTAACTCATGTTATTAGTTTGGAGTGAATGTAATTCACGTTATTTGTTTGAAGTAGATGTAACTCATGTTATTAGTTTGGAGTGAATGTAATTCACGTTATTAGTTTGAAGTAGATGTAACTCATGTTATTAGTTTGGAGTGAATGTAACTCATGTTATTAGTTTGGAGTAAACGTAATTCATGTTATTAGTTTGGAGTAGATGTAACTCATGTTATTAGTTTAAAGTATATGTTACTCATGTTATTAGTTTAAAGTAGATGTTACTCATGTTATTAGGTTGAAGTAGATGTTACTCATGTTATTAGGTTGAAGTAGATGTTACTCATGTTATTAATTTGAAGTAGATGTTACTCATGTTATTAGGTTGAAGTAGATGTTACTCATGTAAAGGTCACAATCAATTTATATGTATTAGAAACGATAATGACTGGAAGTCGTACGAAAAATTTAGTGGACTCATTAAATATTTGATGTAGGATCTTTACAACTTGTGCGGGACGTGGCCTAGTGTTTAGTGGGTCTAAGAGTCTATGGTTTACGTCCCGTTATCACAAAATAATAAAAATAACATTTACATTTCGCACTTTAGGGGCGTGGGTGTGTTATAAGAATGTCAGTCAAATTCCACGATTCAATTAGTGTAGCCAAAGAGTTAGCCATGGCTGGTGTTGATTACCTGTCTTCCTCCAGTGGCACAACGTATGTCTGCTGACTTACAACGCTAGAAACCGGGTTCCGATACCCGTGATGGGAAGTGCACAGATAGTCCGTTGTGTAGCTTTATGCTTAACTTCAAACAAACAAAATCAAAATGAAAATACAAAATCTGAGCGCAACATAGATATAATACAAAATCTACATACAAGAACTAGGATTACACGCTCAGAATTCAACCATTCGTCGCGATACATTTAAGAAAAATATAATCAATGTAGTTTCCTTTAAGTAATAAAAAACAGAGTTTTTTTTCAATAAAAATAGTGACTGGTTTCTTTTTTTACAGTATATTGAACAAGAAACGTGATGTGTTTGGCATTCACGAGTAAAACAATAGACTGCATCTAAGGGTCTTTTTCTATTGAGAAAACTTAGAAGTTTAACTCAAGTACAATAATTATCAAGAATGGAAATGTAGCGATTTACCCAAGATACGCGGCGAACAAAAACGGGGAATTGGTGATAGGTCGAACGATTCCGGGTGTATATAAACGAATATTGTGTGAACCAGTCTTTTCTATTACGTTGGCTTGAGTTATTACTCATTCTACACCTTTTACGTAGCAGAACAAAGGGTAGATAAAAGTAATTCGTGCCTGTTTGTTAAGTCTGGACGAAACAGTAATTCTCAGTGAAAGTTCCATTTAACTTAGTCTATCGGATCTAGTTAAAGCATAAGTTTCTTTAGTAAATCGATCTGTGTCGTCTTGCCAATCAACCTCGGACACTAAAGGTTTAACAGCGCACTTACGCAAGGCCCTTTTCGACGATTAACTCACTGCTGATTCCTTGAAGTTGAAGTTTCTATTTAGAATCGTTGGTGAAATTACAAAACAATGAAAAAATAAATAAGTAAAAATGTATGTTTGTCTGTTTAATCTTGCACAAAGCTACACAAGGGCTAGCCGCCCAAAATTTCGAAGTGATAGACTAGAGGAAAGGCAAATTGTCAACACCACTAACCGCCAACTCTTGGACCCTTCTTTTCAAACCAAATAGTGTGATTTGATTGCCACTCTCTCCAAAGTACGGAAAGAGTTGTTTTTTTTATCGGGACGCGAACCTCAAGTTCACGCTAACCATTAGGTCGCGATCTGCTCAAAAATAAAATAAATAGAATACTAGACAAGGATATAAATGTCTTTATTTTAGGGAAGAAAATTAATTCCGCTAAATTCTGCCAACACCTGTAAAGTACGTGATAGTTTAGTTTCTTCAAAGTGAGAAAACATTTCATGTTAATATTCACCCAACAAAATTATTATCGTAATTTATAAATATCACGTTAAAGCTTGATACAAATACGTTGAATCAAAATAGTTACAACAAGTCATGTTCATCCATCAAGTGCCCGGCATAGCCAGGTGGATAAGGCGCTCGACTCAC